TTCAGGTTTTCCTTCTGAAATCTTAACCCTTTTATTATTTTTTCACTATTATTAGGCTATTAAAGCAGATCCCTATAATATTATACTTATTTATTTTATTAAAGACATTATTCCTTTTTCTTTTTCTAAAACACTTGATACTTTTACTAACTCTTTCTCCATTACCTTCACTATACTTTCTTCCTTTTACAAATTCTTATTTGATCAAACTTATACTCTTATGTAAAAATCTAGATGCAATCTTACTATTACTAAAGAACAATCTCTTCACATTTCACAATATAGTAAATAGTATAGTCCATTTGTTTCATCTACACAGTTTTCTCAAAATAGTTTTACTAATATCTCCTTTCCTTCAACTTATCTTCAGCATGAACATATTTTTTTAATTAGAAACTCTTACATACATGGCCGTTATTAGCCACTCTTACTAACGTAATAATAACTAGTTGTCATATGTTTAATTTTTATAGTTAAGTAGCAATGGTAATTCTTCTAATAATTATTATTAGAGTCTAATGGAATAACCGGTTGGTCTGATAAAATAGGATTTATAGAACTTTTTATTCTTATTAGGTAGCTTTTTTTATTTTTTTATATCTGTATCTCATTAGAGGATTTTCATGTAAAATTTTTACTAATTATGATTATACTTAATAAATAAAAACAATATCATATCTTTAAAAAAAAATTGGTTCAATTAGATCAAACTTATATTTATTAGAAAGTTCTCATCAAGACAGTTCCAATGATATTATTTCTATTGAAATATTGATCATTAGTTCAAAAATTATTCTATTTAATATTATAATTAAATAACAATCAAATTTAATACATATTAAAATATTTATTAGTATCTATTTATTAAATTAAAATTTAGTTATTTAATTATTTTGATTATAGTCAAATAACCAAAAAAAAAACTTTTAATTATAGCTAAATATTATTAATAAATTAATATAAATTTATATGTTAAAATATCTTATAATAAATATAAAATTATTTATATATTTTGTCAATTTAAATAGATTAAATATTAAATTATAAAAATGTATTAATATTTTATTTTTTTATTTTAAAAAATATTTAAAAAGTAATTTGATTAAAAATATATATATATAATTTATTTATAATTTAAAGATAAAATAGTTTAATTTTTATAATAGTATTATAAATGATTTAAAATTAAATTGAACTAAAAGGCTATTAATAGATAAATTTAAAAATTATAAATAAATATTATAAAAATATTATTTTTAAATAAATAATTGAAGTAAATATAATAAAAGAAGAATTATTTTTAATCATTTTTGTAAGAAAATATAAATAGTGTAATGTTTATTAAAAAAAAAATAAGAAAGTTAATTAAAAATAATATTTTAATATAAATATTAATTATTTGTCTATTAGATATTTAATTTTTAGTTAATTGTAAATAATATTATTGCATAATCTTATAGAATCATGCTGAATTTGTTAAACTAATATTTTTTCTATATAAATATCAATAGATTATTTATATATAATATTTAGCATCAATAATATATCTTTATAAAATATTACTATATAGTAAAAAATAATAAATTTAAGAATCTGTAATATTAATTTTCAAATTAATCTGTTGTAAAACTCTATTATTTAGCAAATCAATAAATCACTAATATTTATAGTAATTTTTAAGTTAATATTGCTAGAATTAATTTCTTGTAATCTATCAGATAAGATATTAGGATTAGTTATTCTGGTTAAAGGATAGATTATCTTTCACAAATCAACAGATCAAAAAAGGTGAAAAAATAAAATTAATAAACAGTATTTTACAATTTTAATAAAGATCTCCTAACATTCTATATAATTAGTTTTCATTAAAGAGTTTGATTGCCTTTGCCTGATATTACAATTCTTCTCTTAACTGATAATTTACTATTATATAGTTTTTTGCAAAAGAGACATGATTGTCAAGATTGTGACAAAGTGCTTCATTGGCAATAGTTATAGCTCCTGATAAATTCTTTACTTTATGTGCTATAACTACAAATACTACCTCTAATTTACGTAAATATCTAAAAAGTAGTGATTTATTAATTTTAAAAAGGAATTTATTTTTTTTTCGAAAATGTATTGAACTATTTGACTCCTAACACTCCTGGGTCTTAACTGTCTAGTAGTAATTGAATCCTGGATTCAAGTAAATAACTGTTTTGCCTGTTTTTCATTTTTTTTTAATAATCTAAATACTCAAAAGATATCCTGTTAACCTCAATTTTTTGCATATCTAGTTATATCTCTATTAGATATACATAAGATTTTAATTTTAGTAAGACGAACATAAAGCATTATCATTATATCAGCAAGAGCTTGTATATTAGGTATATTAGACACATCATACCCATCTAATCTTTCTTTAACTAATTCTAGTAAAAAGTAGTCAGAAAAATTGATTCCTTCATTTTACGTTGCTCACTACGCTCTTTTTGAATTTATTAGCTAAACGGATTATTTCTGAAATCAATGTAGCTGAGAAATTTTTTCTAAAACATTGAGAGTTTGCAACTCTCTTCAAAGTCTAGAGATTCAGGATGAACCAGCACTAGCATTAAAAGTAGATTCAGCTAAAGTTTTTGCTATATATTCTACATTTTTTCACTAAAATTATCTTGGGTAATTTGCTGAGCTATCCTTTTGACAGTTTCTCCTTCTGGAATAAGTTTAGACATTTGGCATAGATTCACTTCTACCACTTCTATCCCTCCTATTTGAGAAGTTATTTGATTTTTACTTTAACAAATTCTTTGATCAGAAACTAATATAAATACCTACTCTTTGCTAAAATTATACCTTTTTTTGAAAGCACTATCAACTCTTGTCTCTTTTTAGTTTATCTGTCAAAAGCTTGAGTAATACTGAGGCATGCTGACTAAGTTCTTTGTCACTTAGAATTTGTAATCTATAATGTACTTTGTTACAATCACAAATATAGTTATGTAGATATAACTTGTGAAGTAACTACTAGATTATGTGTAACCTTTAGGTTATTCTATATCTGAAAAAGTTCAATTCAGAAAAAATATTCTGACAATTCTCTATATATAAACTCTATTCATAATCAGTAAAAATAATAGAGAGCTGAAAGAGTATGCTCTGATCAGAAAAAGGTTTACATCAATTTGAAATTTATAGGTAGATAATATAAGCGAAAAAAAATAATAATTTGGGATTTTATATTATCTAGTTATAAAGAATAAAAAGTCCTATTCTTACAAATAATCTATTAATCAGCTTCTTATTTATTCTTTACCAGAACATATCATTCTCATGGAATATGCTTATATTTTTTTATCATTTCTCATCAATATCAAGCCATGAGATTATAACTCCGTCATTCTTGAAAGAATAACAGATTATTTTTTCTCCTATTAATCTTTCTCATTCTGTCATGTCCATATGTTCTTTAGGATCTTCTTCTATCTCTTTTACATATCCATACATTTGTAAATCAGTTTTCATTCTATTGCAGAATGCAATAGAATTAAGCCTGTTCTTTTTTATGATAATTATAAAAACATTTAGATTCTCTTCAAGTTTGACTGCTTTTTTTCTGAAATACTTTTCTCGCTGGGTTTTCGATAGAAGTATGATAGATAATACTTTATTAATAAGTTTAAAAGAATTGCACTTATCGCTTGTTTCTTTTAGAAGTATTTTCATTACTTTGCTAATAGGCTTGATAGATTTGAAAAGCTTGTCAATTACTAGCTCAGATAGATTAAAAGTCTTGGATGTTTCAAATGTTAAAGTGATTGAGACTTCCAATTGTTCTGCTATATTCTTTTCTAGTTAAGGTGGAATTATTTTTGGAGGAATAATTTCTAATACATTGAATATGGGTATATCTGCAAGTTTATTAGCCAGTAACTCATCTGTTTTTAACGCCTCTGGCTGAGATATATCAGAAAATTCTTTTATATCTCTTAAATCAGATTTACAGAGCTTAGCTATGATCTTAGAGTGATCAAAAATGTATTATCATTTTTTTTTCATTACCTATTCATGCTTGTTTGCTCTCAATACTAATATTTGAAAATTTTTTTCTAGTAATGTTATTAGAAAATAGCTTTTCGCCATCCTCTTCATATTATTTAAGATACTTCTAATATAATGCTTTTTTACTTAACTCAACTATACTATTCTCAGCTCAAGATGCAATATAGTTAATTATAAATTGAATAGGATTAGGTAGCTTGTCTCGCATTATATCTGATTTCATTTTAATTACAAGAATTTCTTGTAGTTCAAAATCTGAGAGATCAAGACTAAAAAGATATCTTATAATTACTTCTAGTGCATCAGGATGGTTAAGAACCTTTTCTTGTCACTTAAAATATATTATATTTCCTTTACATCATGAAAAGATATCAAAACAGACTACACAAGAATCCCCTATATCTATTTTGAGCAGGGCATCTTGATTGCTTATAACTATATACTCAGTAAAATCTTTTAGTCGTTTAGATTTAAGACCTTTATGCTTTATAGTCACCATTCCTTCTATTATAAGAGATTTGAAATATCTATTAAATCTATACCAATTACAGATTAAATAATGACAAATCAGGTACCAATTGGTTATCATCCAGTAACCCAGATGATAACCAATTAGTACCTAATTTTTTTTATTTAGAAATCTGATTGCTGTCATAAAATGGTGGCAAAGGAGTACAATTAGATTCAAATTAGAGCATACAAATTAAGCTCCTATTAGTCACTAATTTGATACCAATAGGATATATCTATTGCTATAAATTTATTTAATTGTTAATACCCTAATTGATATCTTTCGATCTTCTAATTGATTATAACATCAAATAAAATTTTTCAATTACAAAAAAATTTATTTAATAAATTTACTTATTATTTACTTATTTAGCATTTATTTATAGTAGAAAAACAACTGAAAAAAGCTGAAAAAAAAATAATTTAAAATTTAAATATTGCATTGATTAATCGTCATTCTTCTCATAATCACTATTATATTTTGTTGATACTAAACTTTTACTTCTTCTTTCTCTATTCCCATTATCCTTTTCAAAACTGTCGACATGGTTTTCATTATGACTATCATTTTCCTCTTTGATATTATTTGTATCTTCACAGATCAGAGAGTAATTAACATTATTATATCTTCTAACGTATGACTTTAACAATTTATTATACTCTGTTCTTGTCCAAGCAGAGGCATTCATAGGTGCTTTTTCTTCATTTAGTATAAATTTGACATAATTATATACCTGTTTTCTTATTTTACGTACCTTCAAAGTTTGGCTGAATTCAGTATCTACGTAATCTTGTAAAAGGTATACAACTATTAAAAAATATTAATTAATATATGCCAATTAGAACTAATGATATAATAACATTTATTACTTACCATTAAAGATTGCCACATAATGTCTTTAATGACGATCTTTCATTTAGGACTTTCGTTATCAATTTCTGATACCTCTAGACTATAGTATAGATTATCAGTGAGGACTGGTTGAATTTCATCATTATAAAAATTTTTCAACAATTGATCATCCAGTCTTATTAATTTGCTAATTGTTCTAGCCCATATTTCTCATTTTTAGACAGTAAAAAAAAATTAGATAAGGTTAAAAACAAATAATATAATCCTTTATTAACCTCTATACATCGCGAATTAGTATACTTTCTCCTTTTGTCATTATCAGTCCACTCAATACTTCTTTTTTGGTTTAGAAATTTTTCCTGTTAATGACAATAACATTCATGAATTATATGTTTGATTATGCTATCCACTACCAAAAATGTTTTTTTATTAATTGATTTTTGTACTATCAGAATGATTTTTTGGTTAACTAATTTTCGTTGGCTTTCAAACATCTAATTTTTGACTTTCTGATAGTCTGTTTATAATCCTTAATATTTCAGACTTAATCACAAAATTACATTAACTATTAGCAAAAAAAATTGATAAGTATAAAATAAATAAAAATAAAGAAAAGATTACCCTTAATGCATTCCTTAATTCTTTATCCATTTCATCATAAAAGAGATAAGTATAAGAGAAAGGAGCAGGAGGAGGAGAATGAGATGATTGGAATAATGATGAGTTTCAGTTGGTCTTTTTCTGACCCTGATTGGAAAGATTTCTTTTAAGTTCAGATCGTCTTTTTCATGTTCGTGATTTTTCTAATTGAAGCCTATTATCAAATGTTCTTTCTTGGCTTTTACCTCTATTATCATATTGTTCAAAGACAAAATTCGTGATATAAACTGACTTTGATGAATAAGCCTTTTCAGTTATATTTTTCAAAGAACCAGGCTGCCCATATTAAGAAGTTGATATGAAGAAATTTACTTTATTATTCGTTTAATTAATTATTGTATCTTTTGAATCTATTTCCTTTTGTTTTCACAATCAATTAGAAATTTCCTTTATATTATGTATTTTTTGATTCTAAAGTGACTTAACAGAATTTCTTTGTATTTTTAAAAAGCTTGACATAGTTTTAGAAAAAAAATCAAAATAAAAACAAATAACAAATCTTATTTTTTTAACTTACCTTTTAATTTAAGTTCCAATCTGATTTGAGTATATAAACAAATGCCTAAATCTGAAAAGTGATGAAACTGCAGCTTAAAATAAATGCAGTCTTTCACTGCTATTCTTTTCATTAGGAACTGTAATTATATTATATGGTAGTATCCTACTTATTTTACTATCATAATCTCAAAAATATAAAAATACTATTATTTAATAGGCCTTATTTAGATGAATTCAGTAAATTAAATTTACTTTTAAATATTATTATATAATATATTTTGTAAAGGATTATGAGAAAAAAAGATGTTGATTTTTTATTATATCTTTTTACATATTAATTTATTTTTTTTTATTTAATAAAATTTTAATAATTAATTGAATAAAAAATATATTAATTTGATAATACTTATTTTACTAAATTGATATAAATTAAAACTGATTTACATTTAATTTATATTCTAAATTGATGCTAAATTAAAGCTAATTTTAGATTAATTTTATAATTGAATTTATATTTTAAATTGATATTGAATTGTTTTATTTAATTGAAGTTAATTAATACCGTTTATATCAATTAAAAATAAATAATTTAGCTGTAAATAATATTAAAATCAATCTAAAATTCAATTATTTGATTTCTAACTAATTTAATTATTTTAATTTATATATTTAAAATTTTTATTATTTATGTTTTAGCATATATTTTAATATATTTAACTTTTTACTTTAATTATTTTTTAATTTTAATCTATAAATATTTACTAAAATATTTTTAAAATAGGTTTATCATATTTTTTATTACTTTTAATATATTTTAATAATTTTATTTTTATTATATTTGAAGGATTTTATTATATTTTTTATTATAAATTTAATATAAGTTATCTTAATTTTGATTAATATTAAAATAATTTGTTTCTTATCTATATTTTAATTAATTTTTTAAGATTTATTTGATTTTATATATAAATATTTTATAGTAAAAAAGGAGAAAACTACTAAAAAAATTTTTTTAAGAATGTTAAATTTGGATTTATTTTATTAAAAAATAATATTTAACTTATAAAGTAAAAAAAATTTTTTTTAATAGTTTCCTTTCTTTTTACTATAAAGTAATTAAATAAAAGGAATAATTTATGAAAAAATATAAATTTTATTTTATATACTAAATATAAAATAAGAAAAACAAAACAATGATTTTTAGATTAAAGTTTTATATTAACTTATTTTTTATTTGTTCTGATAATTTTTCTTTTTCTATTGTAAAGATTTTATATTTTAATATTTAAATTATATAATAACCTATTAAATAATTTAATAAATTATATATTATTATATATAAAAAGAATGTAAATTTAATTATTATAATATGATAATTATTATATAGAATTAATAAATTATAATTTATTTTAAAAATAATAAAAGTTTTTTTTAAATTTAAAGTAAATATAAAAATAATTTTTGAGTTTAATTATCTTTCTTTATATTTTAAATAATTTAAAAAAAAATAAATAATATATAAATAATTTATTAAATAAATGAATAAATAAATAAAAATTAAATACATACATACTGTACTTTGCAAATCTAATTACAAAAAATTCAGCCACCAAATTTTACCAAGTATAGGAAATCCACTTTTGACCTATAATATGTCACTGATCGGCAGAATACAAAACGTGTGGTTGTGACGTCATTTAACTGTTTTTTGCCCAGTTACCTATTTCATGTGCTCAAATTATCGATATATATAGTAGGTTGTGCGAAATAGTAATTACTTTAGCTTCTCTTTAATTTGCTATTTTGACCTTTTTAAAATCTTTATAATTAAAATTAGGTATTTTCAGTAAAACTCTATTCAAGCTTAAGGATCATTAGTAGAAATAGTTGACAAACAGCAAAAAAGTTACAATGGCAGCCGATAGTTCGTCATCCCGTCAATCATCAGATTCCAAACAAGATGGAAGATCAGCTCAAGACTCAGATGTGATCAAAAAAGAAGATAATAAAGCATCGACACATGAAGAAGGGTAAAGTATCATTGTTTCAACAATTTTTTTTTTGCAATTTATTTTAGCGGGAAACTTTTAGCTTGTGGGGAGTTTCTCTCTTTTTTTTGTGCACCTTGTTTTGTTCGAACCAACGATCCAGGAACGTTCTACATGATACACTTTACGACTTCCAACTGAAAGAAAGAAAATCGAAGGAAGGCAAAACTCTGGAAAGGCTTTTAATATTCAAATGATATATAGAGATCTATCGTATTAGGATGATTTTAATTATTAGCCTTGAAGAAGGAAATTGCCCGTACAGATATTAAATAGAGAAATTTAGTACAAAGAAAATCAGGATTACAATTTTATTATGTAGCATGGAAAGAGAGGGAGAGGGAGGAATATAGAAATTTTTCGGAGAATTCTATAATATACTTTTCTTTTTTTTTTTTTGTGGTTAGGTTTATTTTTCTTTCTTTAGAGCATTGCAGATTAATTACAACTAATAGGTTTCTCTTTTTCCCCAATACTTTTTTACACTATTTTATATATATATAAATTATTACATCTATATATCGAATACATCTATCTATCAACTATATTCCTTTACCATAAATCGTATCACATTGAATACTGTAGAAAGATGTTCATAGGAGGTCTTAATTGGGAAACAACCGATGGTAAGATTCTTGTATTTTAGTCTTACCGTAGCCTTCGTTGTAATTTAATTATTTCCTATGCACTTTGGTCTCTCTCTCTCTCTCTTTCGCTCTCTTTATATATATTTATGAAGACACTAGTCGACAGTATGTCGTTAGTTAAATTTTCTCTCTTTATTGATTCATGTATTTATTAAGTGAACATCAAATATAAGGAAAAAAAAAATATATTGTAAGATACATGATTATATTAAGAGAGAAATTAGTCATTATTTATTTCTTAGTGTTTTAAATTCTAGTCTTTGGATGTTGAGAGATTCAGTGGAAATAATTGGCGCTAAGATTATTGGCTTGGGCATCATTTCTCAAGTTTCTCAAGAATATTGAGTGAATCATTAATTCACTCTTTAACACTAACAATTGAATAAAATATTCGAATTTAACATTTTCAACATAATTTATTCATCTATTCTTTTTATTTCTTTTTTTGATCTAATACCAAATCATATAATTTGCTTATGAAATCAAAAATAATTCATAATAGAGAGCCTTAAATCATACTTTTCACAATACGGTGAAGTAACGGATTGTATAGTCATGAGAGATCCAAATACGGGGAGATCTCGTGGTTTTGGTTTTCTTACATTTGTAGATCCTTCCGTTGTTAATACCGTATTAGTTAAGGAACATCAATTGGATGGGAAAATTGTAAGTAGGAAAAAATATAATCTAGCAAAAATCATAGAATAAGGCGATCCTCTTTTTAAACTATGTCTAAATAAAACTATCACTTATAATAATTTTTGCAATTAGATCGATCCAAAACGAGCGATTCCGCGTGAAGAACAAGAAAAAACCGAAAAAATTTTTGTAGGAGGTATTGCGCCGGAAGTATCTGAGGAAGAATTTAAAGAATATTTTGCGCAATTTGGAAACGTTATTGATGCGACCCTTATGGTCGATCGTGATACTGGTAGACCTCGCGGTTTTGGATTTATCACCTTTGATTCTTCTGAACCAGTTGAGAAAGCTATGGCTAGGAGTGACTTGGAAATTCAAAACAAGCCGGTAAATTAAATTATATATATTTTTCACCTAATTTTTATTTATTTTAATTTTTTAATGGATTTAATATTAATAGATTGAAGTGAAACGAGCAATGCCTAAACATAAATCACAAAGGCTTGCGCCGATTTATAATCAGGGAAGTTATGGATCATCCTCTCCGGCATCAGCTGCTGCTGCAATGTCTGGTTTATCATCATCGGCCAGTTCTGCTAGCAGTAGATATGGATCTCCATATGGGATGTCCGGCGTTGGGAAAGATGGAAGTTCTGGAGGATATTCTGGTCTTGGTAGTTATAATCCCAGCTCGTATACAGGCTACGGTGGATACAGTCAATACTCCAATTATAATTATCCGAGTTCCTATCCTAGCGGGTATGCTCCATATAATGCTATGAATGCTGCTTATTATTCTTCAAGGTAAAATCCGAATGTGAATTATAAAATTTATTAATTCTTTTTTATTATAATGTTTATTTTATCATTTCTATGTTTATTTTAACTACTTCAGTAGATATGGTTATAATAGTCAATATGGCGGTAGTAGTAGCAGTTATGGAGGTTCTGGAAGTCGTGGAGGATCTTACAGCCAATGGTATGGAAGAGATGGTGGTTATGGATCAGGTGGTCCATCATCCGGAAGTGGTTCAGCAATGGGCGGTCCAAGTTCCAGCAGCCGGTTAAGTGGTGGATATCGACATTCTCCTAGTCGAGATGAAGGTAGTTACCGAGATCATCATCATCATCATCATCCGACTTCTCCTATGTATAATCGTGGTGGTGGTGGCAGTTCTCGTAGCGGCGGACCAGCTCGTTCTTACTCCAGTTCAATGAGTAATAGTGGTTCAGGTGGTGCTTTGTACAGTAGTCACCAAGTGCGCGGACAACATAATTATCACCCTTACACTCGGTAAAACTACACTTACCTACTTAATAAAAAATTTCCTCAAGGCAGAAGAACCATCTGGAAAATAATTAATGTCAATTGGACAATTTTTTTTTTTTAATGCCCTAATTTCTGGACAAAGCATTGCTGAATTTATTCTTTCGGGCGAGATATTTTGGAGCTTTGATCCATACAATTTTAGCAGTCAGTTTATCACATCTTTTATTATATATTTCTTATTATTAGAGTTTGTATAGGTTCTATATATAATATAAAAATCTAAAATTTGATAGAATCTCCTACTTTATTTTTTTTTGTTTATGATTAATTTTTCAAAAAAGAATTACTATAATTTAGTATTTGTTTTTATTATTACAATGATATAAGCAACAATCCATTTGTTTTATTATTCAACCTAAAATTAACAAAATATATAATTAATTTCATTGATAAAAAGAACGTGACTTTATATAATTTAAAAGTAAATAAATAAAAAAAAAAACCATTAACTTAATAATTCTTTTTGCACATGATTATTTATTTTATTATTATTATTGTGCAATGTAGTAATGTAGTAGTAGTATTACGGTAACTAATTGGTTGTTGGTTTAACCTATTAAATTTTTTTCTATTGTTACGCTTTTTTTTAGTTGCTACGCGTTTCGTTCACTTGGAAATTTGGATTTAAATCAAAATTATCAATCAACCTTGATGTCGACTTTAATTAACTTGCAGTAAACGAAAGGAAACGTTGTTAAAATGTCTTCAAGCCCGAAGGTTGTCTCGGAACACAAATATTTTGAGCTAGTCGACTTTGAAAAAGTCTGCCCTCAGCAGAATTTTATGCTCCCTCCCGAAATCTTAACTCTTGAAGTATTAGCTAAAAAATCGACTAAGGCTAAAGCTGTCAGGACTTCTTCACGTGTGCCAAAGCCTAAAAGAACCGAAGAAGTTGATAATGAAGACTTTAATAAAAGACGCAAAAGTAAAGTATTTAGCGTAAAAATACAATTTAAATGTAACGAAGATTGAGAAGACTTATCATTCAACAATTTTGAAGGTTTAAATTATGATCAGGTTGACAACTTCAGAGATCCCACAAGAACCAGAAAAGCCAATTATGGTAGTAACAGTAATGCCTACGTGATTAGTAAAGTTGAAGGTTCCCTAGCTTCGGCTGTGGCACAACATAGGTCGGTTAAAAGGACTTACACAGATAATGCAGACAGTGCCGCAACTCTCGCCTGGAAGGCACCTAATTTTCCTCGCAAGAAGAAAAAAACTGTACATTTAAATGAGCAACAAATTCGTGTTCTTCCAGGTAATGTATGTAAAGGAGGAGTAATCATTATTCATGAAAGTTGATTATTGAATTCTTAACCTAAATTATAGAACAACCAAATCTTTTTGCGAATTATAATGGTCGTGCGTTTATTGAAAATCCCTTTATGAGGCAGTCGACTCCGTCAGTGCTTATTCAAGGTGCATATAAATTAAATGCAGAACACATCAAAAGATCATTTATTCAAACCTGCTTTAGGTAAGTTGTGGACATATTTTATCTTAGTTGATTCTTATTTTTATATCTTACATTTATACAATCTCTATAGAAGTAAAGCAGAGTTTCAGGCCCGAGAAATATCTGAAAATGCTGATAAAGATGTAGGTGTTTATTTAAGTTCTTTTTTTTTTTTTTTAAAAAAAAAAAAAAAATAATAATAATTTATGATTAAAAATTTCCCTAGGATATGGAGATTGACGAAAAATTACAAACCTCTCAAGAATAATTCATTTTTCCAAATAAAAAAAAAACTTTCGTCGTTTTATACGCGTCATACAACAAACGTTATTGAAAACTTTTTTATTTGTAAATATTATGCGTTTTTTATTTGATTAATTAATTTAATAAATCATCATACTCAAGTACACGATGTGATGTATAAGTAATTAAAATGATCTACATACCGTCTAACATATTCATTTATCACGTGACTTTGTTTTGAAGAAAGACCAAAAGCTTGCTTTTTCACACTCCAGATATACACGTATGTATAAAATAGCAGAATCCTCTCCACCCAACTTGGGATCGTGTACTGATTATTTAGTTCGGTTTAGCTGTTATTCACGAACAAAGACTCTTCCGTAACGCCGATTAATTTAGACTGTAAAAAGTTGTGACCAACTATTGAAACTTTAATAAAAAATTTTTTTATAAAATGGCCGCGGATCGTAATACGCCAGAAGGAGTTGAGAATTGGCTTATTCAGTCGTCAACCAATCCTTGGTCGTTCCCTTCGATCGTAGGTCCGGAACTTACAAGGGAAATACTGCAACATATTTGTAATCGTTGGAGTTCGTATTCCTCTAATATTAAGTTGGGAGTGTTATTTGCACTTTTGTGCATTAGAAAAATTTCGTTGAATACTATGGGAAATGAGTTATCAGCGGTAAGTGTTGTATCAACGCATACTTACAGCTTTACATTTCAAAAAACAAAAAACCTTTATATGGTCTTTTCTTTACTTTTTACGTTAATGATTTGAAGTCGCGTTTGTAAAACTTTTAGTGCTAAATTTCGTGGAATTAAAGATGCCAAGCGATAAAGCATTTGAAATTTTTATTGCGCGTTTTTTTTTTTTATTCCTTTAAAACGTTTTCGTTTATTTGTATTTCAAATAAAAATTTTTTTATACGTATGAAATTATTTTGTTATGCTTTAATTTAAAAATTGAAACGATAAAATTATCTTTCATAAAAAAAAAAAAAAAAAAAAAAAAAAATTATATCAATTCGAATATTTTTTAAGTTTAATTTTTTTTTTAATAAATAAACAAGTGATTATGTATTATAACAACCTTACGTGTATATATATTTATATATATATGGATTTTTTTTACTCACTCACTTTTACTTCTTTCGATAATGTCATATTTTAGATAATTACAAATGGATCTAGCGACAATGATGAATGGGTTCGTTTAGTATCAAAAATGCTACAAAATTATCCAACCACAAATGCACTTGATCTTAACATAGAACAACATATTCCTAAAGACGCTCAGGAGGGACTTCAAAATTTAATGGAGCGAAGTAAGATTTATATTATTATTATTTTTTATATATATACATGTATACATTTATATGTTTATAATTATCAATCATTTCTTTTTAAATATAACTAATAAACGATTTCATCATTTTATGTAAAGTACAACGAACTGGAATTAAATTCCATCCGACTGAATATGCATTTATAGACCGTGACATAAGTGATGCTTTTTCAACACTCACAATTGAATTAGAGCCCGCTCGACATTTTGCTTTAAAGCAGGGATTTGAAATATCAAAGCAACAACGTCTATATGCCTTGAATAATGTAGCAATGCCACCACCATCACCGGGATTAACATCTCCTGTTAATGTAACAGGATTTAACTTTGTGTCTGATCAAACTCGAATTGGCTCATCACAAGCTTCAACAGGACCTTCAATATTCATTCCTAAACGTCGACCTTCACAATTGTCACAACCATTTCTCAGATCTCCAAGTCTTCCAAAACCTGGATCTATAAATATTTTGCGTGGTAATTTAAATTTTTTACACATAAGATAATACTTTTTTATTACTTGAAATTTACCTATTAATCTCTTTATTAATCATATTTCTGGGCCAATAAAGGACCGGATTCGCCAACAGAACCAAAAATTACTCAAGGGAAAAAATACGTAAAACCCACTAAAATTCAAATTCTTGATATAACTACTGCTACAACTATAACACGAAATCAAGAAGAAACTAAACTTAAAACACAAATGGGTACGAATATTTAACATAACACTTTATCATATTGTATGGCTATTATTTGATGTATATTTTTTCCATTTGACTGGAATATTTCAGTGTAGCCAATTTTGATAATGTGTAAATTACTTTCTCTTCTATGATGTCGGTCAGAGGAACAACAAATGAAAGAAATGCGAAGACAGGAACGTGAAAAACGTCAAGAAGAAAGACGACGTGAAGACGAAGAGAAAAAAAACAAGAAAGAACGCGAGAAAGCCGAAAAAGTACGACTGAAGGAAGAGGCCAAACTAGCGAAAGAAAAAGAAAAGCAAGAAAAGCGTGAAAAGGCGGCAGCAAAAACGGCGGCTTCTAACGAATTGAGTAATACGCAACAGGCCAACGTTCCTTGTGAGATTTGCTTTCTTATTAGAGTATTGCAATTTGTTTAATTATACTTATTTTTTTGCGCTAACTTGGTTAAATTTATATTATTTAGTGACGACTCGAAAAAAGAAAAAAATCAATTGTAAAGTATCATTTTCATTTTCAGAAAGAGCTCACCTTTGTTATTAATGAATTGTCATCATTTTGAAGGTCAATTTGTGAATTATGTTTTCATTAGCATTGACTATTTCTCAATGATTTCATTGAAGTGAATTTTGTGTTTTTTTTTTGTTTTTTCAAAAAAAAAGTAATGAAATTTATTTAAAAAAAAAATAATTTTTTTTTTCCTCCTAAAGATGATGAAACCATTGAAGAGGAAGTTGTATCGGACGAGGATTTGCCACACAAAAAATCCAAGAAAGCTACGGTTTCACCTACATTTCCAGCTTCATTATCACCTGCAAACCTATACCAGCCAGATATGCAGACTTCATCAACACATGATCATATCGCCGACAACACTGATACCATTGCTACTGTATCACAGAATGGATCTAGCACATACACACAGGCAACAATAGCTGAACCACTTTCATCAGGTAACCATATCATCATTTGGTCATAAGATATATTTTTTTAAATTTAATAATGTCAAATGTTATATTTTTCTCTTTCTAGCATCTGAACAACCTATTGTTGCGGACCCAGAATTACCAAGACCACAATTCGAAGAGATACCTAAAAACGAGATGAATGAAGAATTAAGAAGACAATTTGAAATGAATTGTGGCGCGGTTCTCGATAAGTCTAATAAGATTCATGGTGACAACCGTCAGCTCATAATAAACTTTTTAGGTGGACATCATACTAAACCAGAACGTAAAGAATTTTATTTATTTGTTTTTTTTTATATATAATTTCTTTTTTTTTTACATTAATTTTATTTTTAATTGTATAGAACGTGACAAACTCATGAATATATCGAAAGGAGTATCTAATAATGAGGATGAAATTCGTCATATTATCTTACATGAGGAAAAGACACCAATTCCCGATGAAGGCAAGGAAATTCAAGAAACTTTCATATTTGAAATGAATTTATCCAATGGTCAATGGAGAAAGCTTAAGAGAAAAAAGACCAAGGCGGTAAAAAACCCAAATTTAGAAGCATTGAATGGTAGACCAAATGGTAAGTATCATTAGCGATAAAGGATTTGTAGCTAAAGCTAGAGGATTAAATAGTTTATAAATTTTTATCGTATGATTTATTATAAGCATTTTATTATTTTTAGTCACTCACTCTGGGTAAACATTTGCTAAGCTTGGATATTGAATATGCAAACTTGTAAACTTTTATGTGAAGAACGTTTCTGATTATATATCAAATTTTTGTATGTTTAGCAAAATTAAATATCTACATTACATTTACATTTTTAGCACAGTTTATATTTTCAATTATGGTTTTTAAATATATATATGGTAATCAAAAAAAATTATATTGGTTTTGTAAAATATTATAAATTTGCATATCTTTTTTAAAGGGCAATTAATAATATTGTAGTTATTCTAATATTTTGAATGCATTGACAATCTTTTTATTTTGCAGTATCTTTTTTTAAACATAATATAAAATTATTTTTATTAATCTTAATATAATTACAGTCGGCTCTCTCTACAATTACACTTTCGGGATCATCTTATGGTGTGATTGTATAGAGGTGTTCTTGTATATGTGATTATGTAATTATGCATCGTTAAATTGTTTATGATGATAATGATTATTGTTTTTTATTACATTTATAATTGGAATTATGATAAAAAATTGATTCTCATAGCTCTTTGATTCTGAATCTTAGGAGATTAGTTCATTTCATTTTCTTTATTTTACATTGATGTCATTAAGTTCGTAATGCTATCTATTTTGTTATTCAATTGTAAAGAAATGATTCAAGAACTGATAGATAAAAAAATTAGATTCAGGTTTATCATCTGCATTTTTGCTTTCTTCTGATGCAATTGGATCTTTTTAAATTTTGAATTTAATATTTTCAAACCAATCATCGTTCTTTTATTTAGTTGTTTAAAAATCATTTTCTTTCTATTAGATCTTTCAGCTTTTGATTCTGAATCTTAAATAATAATTTCATTTTATTACTTTATTCTTTTGCTTTATTTTTTCGCTTGATTATTTAATAACCATTTTCTTTTTTTTAGATCTTTTAGTTTTTTTAGCTTTGGATCTAAGATAATAAATTAATTTTTTTTATTTAACTTTATTTTTTGCTTTATTCTTTTGCTTAATTATTTAATAACTTTTTTTTTTTTGACTCAATTAATAATTTATATTTAATAAATTTAAATATAAAAAAAAAAGTATTTTATTAAAATATATAGTTCTTCAAAAAGTTTAAAAAAAAATTAAAGAATTTTTTTTTTGTTAAAATAGATTAATTATATAATTATCAACTCAAAATAAAATAAAAAATGTATATCATTTTCTAAATATAATAGTATCTATTAACTTAAACTATAAAACATATATAATATTTTTAGTTATACTATTATCTATATTTTATCATATAATAATATAATTATATAAAGCAAATTTATTATATCAACTAATAATATCAATTTAATAATTAATATAATAGTATTTATAATTATATGTAATTATAAAAAGATTTTTATATTTAAAAAATCAGAATCAAAATGTAATATACTTATAAAGAAAATGTGATTATATAAAATGTAATATAAAAAGATTAATTGTATATAATTTAATAAAATATTTTATTTTATTTTCTATATATAAAGAATATCTATATTAAAATCTATTATTATTAATAAACTTTACATTAAGTACAATCTAAATTAAGTAATAACAAATTATATAAGAAAATAAACTCTTGTGTTAACTTAAACTAACTTTTTATAAGATATTAAAGAAGAATATTATAAGCATTATTAATATTGCTATCAAGGTTTATTTTATATTAGAGATAGTAAACCACTTTAGATTTATCTAGCTATCTATAAATATAATCACAAAATCTATAAATTTTATTTCTATATAAATTACTACTTAATATCAGAAATACTTATGTGTTTTATAGATTAAATGTTATTGAAAGTGATAATGTAATTTATATATAACTTAAGCGGTTTTAAAACTAATATGTTATTATTCATATTGAACTATTTCTTAAATACAAATTTAGGTAGTAATATTATAAATAATTTTTACAAAATTATTTAATTAACCTATAATAATAATTATTTATAAGCTAATGAATGCTCTTATAAATATATATATAATATAATATAATCTATAATTAAAATAATAAATACATTAAATTATAAATAAATATTAAATAAATAAATTAATTAAAACAACTAATATTAATTTTCTTTTATTTAATAGCTATTCTACTTAGATTATAATCAGTTATAAATATATTTATACTTATATTTAAAGTAATCACTAATAATCTTTTTTATTAAATTATTAAATATTTAAATAATTTTAATTTAAATTATTTTTATTATTATTAATATGAGATAAAGATATATTATATAGATAATATAAATAAGATTTTTTAAAATAAAGAACTTTGATTTTTGCCTATAGATTGATAAATTAAATTTTGTTATATATTATCTTTTTAAACTAGAATTATCACTGTAGATCTGATTAAATTTAGTAATATTTTTTTCAAGCTTAATTAAAAATTCATATTATAAAAAATAAAAAAAAGTTATGATTTTATTATTTAAATTTTTTAAAAAATAACAAATCACAAGAAACTAACCGTTTTTGAACATTAAATAATTATTGGATTTCATAAGAATAATTATGAAATTACTGATATTTTTAGAATTTTAAATATATTCAAAAGTACTTGTCAGAATGTCATTAAAAAATTTTGTGAAGAAGGTCTTATAAATATTCTTTCTTATTCAGAAAAACTACTCCTTTTAAATGAATATGAAAAATAAATTCTTATATACTAAGTTAGATAAAATCAAAAAGTTTCTCTTGAAGAAAGTATTAAAAGTTTTAACCAACTCAAACTTACTTAAATTAGTATAAGATTTTTAGACATATATTATATAAATATGACTATTTTAGTAAAATTGGAAAAAAAAAATTATTTATTTTAAATAATATTAGAAAAGAATATTTAAAGTGATGTCAAAATGTAATTTTGAGAAAATAATATAATTTAGAGTGATGAATTTCAGTTTTTTTATTTAAAAATGATAAATAATAATAAGCTTGAAAAAAATTTTTATAAAAAATGTAATATAAATTATTTAATTTTTACAGTAAATTTAAGTAATAATAGAGTAATAGTTTAGGATTATTTTGTTAAAAATAGGCTTAAATTTTTAATAGTATTAGATGAAAAATCATGGGGACAGTATATAAAAATTTGTTAGAAACACGTTTATTACCTTTTATAGAAGACTTGAAGGAAGATATTTCCTATACTTTTCAAAATAATAATGCTTCTATATATAAAGCAAATTTAGTACTTAAATGAAAGAAGAAAAATTTAATATTTTCTATTCTATAACTTGCTTAAAGTTAAGATTTTAATCCAATTAAGCATTTATAAAATCTTTTAAAAAAAGAATATATAAGCATAAACTTAAACCAAAAAATAAAAGGAATTTATTATAGTTTTAACAGAAAAGTGATTTAAAATTGAAGAATTTTATTTAGAAAATTTTGGTAAATAGCATACTAAATAGAGTTGAAGCTATAATTAAATATAAAAGAAATCTTATAATGTATTAATATCAGATTTAGACAATTAATAGCTTAAAAATTTTGATAATATAAATTATTTTTAATAATATAAATAAAGTTTTTGGGTAAATTCAATTTAAAATTATTAATTTTTTTTAAAAATGCTAATTTTTTATGATAGTTAAAGACTTTTAGTAGAGGAGTATAAATAAAATTATATATACAATCAACTTTTATTATAATAAACTCTACATCCTAAACTTCAACTTCACTATAAAGCTATAATAAAGATTTTAAAAGATTTGATTGGTCAATTTATTATAACAAGAATATTTTTATTATATTTATTTAAAAATTTATTATATCAAGAGTTCGCTATATCAAGAGTTGACTGTAACTAGTTTTAATCTGATAAGATAAAATAAAGTAGATTATTTTTGTATTATATTAATTAAATGACCAATACTTTTATATTCTCTTATATATAGAACTTAAAATATTTTAATATAATAATTATTATTATATATAATAATAAATAAAATTAGTTTATTATTTTATAATATTTATTTATTATTAATTATAATTAGTTACAATTTAATTTTAATAATACTGTTAACGTATAATTCTTACGAACTATGACTATTAGACAGAATATTCGAGTGGTTTATTCTTTTTAATTGCACAGTAATTTTTTAATGGTTTATAAGTTTTAATTTAAACAGTTTATCAAAAGTGTAGATTATTATAACGAACGGTGATTCAATAGATTGCTGTAGTTATATTTGTAAAATAATGTGTTTATTCACGAGTAAAATAATAAAATAAAAGAAAAGAAATAAAAAGAAATAAGAAAATAGAATAAGAAAAGAAACGAAATAGATTACTGAAATAAAATGTAACGTAATAGGCCAGTTACCTCTAGACTACTAAAACTAACTTGTTGAGTTTCTATCTATCTCTCTTTTTACATAAACTAAAAAGCTATCTATTTATATAAAATAAATTACATATAAAGATATAACTAACATGTTTACTATATCAACTATGTCTAATATCTCAACTATATCTAATATGTCGACTATATCTAATATGTCAGTTATGCCAAATATGTCTGACATATCACATATATCACTTATGCCAAATTAGTTAATCTTTTGCACTATATAAGCTATATTATATTTACCTATTTACATTACTTCTAATGCTCTGAACGGTTCAGTTCAGTCCGAATTATAGGCCAATCTGAAACTGAACTGAAAATTTCAGTTCAGTTCAGTTCAGATTAAAAATCTTAATTCATAGTTTGTATAACAAGTAGAGATCTGCAATTAGTAAAATTTGGTGAAGATCAACTATATAATCATATAAATTGAAAATTTTCTGAAAAATCTACACAGTATTTTTACATTTAAAATATAAAAAAAAATTTCAGAAATTAATAGCCAATTAATACAAATCTTTATTTGTAAAAAAAATTTTTAACGCAACTCATTTTTTAAGAGCTTTTATGTACAAAATGTGTGAATTTCAATGCGAAATTTATTATAACTGAATATATGATTTCTAAATAATACCTACTTGAGCTTGAGATTTTATTACTGGAAATTACCACTGGTAGTTAAAGCTTTTTCTGCTGCTTCTGCCTTTATATGCGCTGAATATCTTGAGATCTACCCTCTAATTGTATCAACTTTCTGTGATATTTTTTCTTTTGTCAAATGTCCCATTTCTGCAGCCATATATAATTCTCTCATCATATCTTCAGCTGATAAATGTGACTTACCAGGTGTATTTCCGCTATGGAAATAACCTTTCAATAACTTAACAACTTTCTTTAGAATTCTTTTACTACTACCTTTTTTACCAAACTTTTGTTTTTCACATAATGCCTAACCACTTTCTAATCAGAACATACAATTTCTGTTAAAAAAGGTAATTATTTATTTTATTAATTTAAAATCAAACAAAATATATTACTCATTGGTTAAAAAACTCAATCCTAATCTACTATCTTCATTTAGCTGCTGTGAAGTCATATCTACTACTTCAAAAAGAAGTTTGTATTACTGGGTAGCGTCTGTATTATCTGTAAAAATTGTCAATAATTTATTTCAAAAAAAATTTGGTATGTGAAACTTTTTTTAAAAACTTACTTTGTTTAGTTTGAGTTTTCAATGTTTCATTTAAAAGATTAACTAATTGTGTATGTGTTGATTTTAGATCAAAATTTACTTTATATCTATTTAGTTCATCATGAAGTTGAGTAATATATAATCGATTAGGTTTGATACCTATAAATAATATTTATTATTAGTATATCTGTTTTTTGATTAATATAATAATATTTTAATAATACCTAAAATATTTGGCATTGGTATAGACCATTGAGCTTTTGGCATTGTATGAGTATCAATTTTAGTTCAGGTTTTTCTAATAGAGCAGAGATTATTTTAGCAATCCTTGTAGGAGAAAAATTTATAAAATCTCCAATATGAGGTAATTTGCGTGCTTGAATAAAGCCATTATATTCCCCTTCACATGGCCAATACTATTCATACAGTTTGGCTATTTCAGCTAATATCTCTACTTTTTTTCTTTTTGATCTATTAGGTTCCAAATGTGTAACTGATGTTCCCTGAATATTTTGAATAGATTCTTCGATTTGAAAACTACTTATCAAATCTGATCCTAAGCGTACAAATCGTCTGATTGCATATGCAATCTAATATAAAGTAAGTGTTAGATTTTTAGTTAATTATAAACAAAAAAATATTATTACATACTTGTGCATGATGTGAATCAATCATTGTTTTTGCTTCTCCCAGTTCTAAAAATAACCACTTTTTAACTTCAACTTGATACCAATCAAACTAATGGCTGAGTATAACCATTAGTTCTGAATTATGATAGTGAGGTCTATTATTAGAAATGAAGGTTACCCATTTTGGTCTTTTCTCAAGAGAAGTAATAACCACATGAAGAGATGATGCAGTAAAGTATGCATCTTGATGTTGATCATCTGACTAATGATCAAATGCACGAACATCCAATTAAGCATTTTCTCCTTTAGTAAATAATAATACGGTATGTAAGGTCCATCCTCTCTTTCCAAAAAAATCTTCTTTTTTTTCTCTTGTTGATTGTTTGAGTATTTTCATTTTATAATCTACTATAATTAACACACCATTTTGATCAAGTTCTTTGAGATAAATTTCAAATTGACTATTTAGATATACTTTTTGCACTAAGTGGGCCATATAATAAATCAATTTATCTTGATTAACTAAAAGAAATTCCAAATGGTCTTGTCTTAAATATTCTTTGAGTTGCTTAAAAATTAACCAAAGATTTTCATAACTTAAACAAACAGTCGTATGTAAGTCTTTACATATACCTAACGAATATGCAAGACAATGAGAAATGCAAAAATTATGTTTTGGTTTTCCATTAAGATCCACAGATAAATCTCGTTCAAATTCTCTTTTTATATGACGACGTAACATTTCAATTTGACTAATTATATTTGACTAATAAAAAATTTTTATTAGAAATTTTATTATAAAAAAAAATTTCAAAATATATTTGAATATAATTACTTTTTTATCTGAAATTCTAATATTTGAAGATATTAAACCAATCAAATCATTAAAAATATCATAATCATAATTACAACAGATTAAATATAATCCACCTAAATCTTCTCGATATTGATATCTTCCTTTTGCTAATTCCACCATAAATGTTGTTCTTTTAATTCCATTTGGAAAAATTTCTGAATATTATTTCCAAAGAGCAGATTTTGTATTTTGAAGATAAAGAATTGGTAGACCAGTTTTAGCATCTACTTTATATGAACTCATTGTAATAATTTCTTTATTAGAAAAAAAAATTTCAATTTGTTTTTTAGCTTCATCTGATATGCAGTTTCGTGTAATTAGTGGTTATTTTATAGGAGAACATCCTGATCCATTAAGTCGCGTATACTTTCAGGCTTTATTCAAGGTATGTGATATTATTTTTATCTAAATTATTAATGTTAATATATTAATAAATTAACACAAATCAATAAAATACAATCAAAATCTTATATACTATACTGTATACTTACATTTAGCGTTTTCAATTGTTCTAAACTATAATCCTCAACAATTATTGAAAGAATTCTTCGTTTACCATTAACTCCTTTCTTATTATTATCAATTGCTTTGGCGATAGTTGTAGCCAGTTTTTTCGTTTACTCACATGAATTTGAGACGCATAATTCAGATTTTTTAGAAGTCAAATTTATATATAATAATCCTTTTTCATGTAACATTTGCATTGTTTCTAAATCTTTTTTCCAATTTTCTGCTCTTGTTCAAAATTCACACTATATAATAAAAATATAAAATAAATTATGAATTGTTATTAAACTATACATTACCAATTGGTCATCAAGTGGATAAGCTATTACATTAAAACATCCTGCTGCTTTTAATAAAGCAAGCCAAGCATAAAGTTCTCATGGTTTAAATGCATAATCGGACATATAAATACTTTTTAGAGCCAATTTTAATTCAATAATATCACTTGTTTGTTTATTCCAATCAGAAAAAACTTTATACCACTAAATATTGATACGTGTATGATGTTTAAGAAAATGTAAATACAATGATTTCAAATTAGATTCTTCTATCCAATCTTTAGGTTAACATGCTGGACGAAATTTTTTTTTTATAATTTGTTGAGTTCTTGGATCTATTAATCCAAAAAGATTTTTTCCATCAAACATAAGAAATAAGCCAATTTTATTCTAAACATCATTGGGAGTTTTTCCTTTGAATACTTCTTTCTCATAAAATTTTTCAAATACTCGAACAATACAAAAACTTTCAGTTATTTTTTGTTCATAAAAAATCTTTCTTTTTCCCTTGATGCTAAGTGATGACATAAACCCACAACCCGCACCTTCATAACCATTCTGACTTGAACTTTCAATATTATATACAAAAATTTGAAATTTGTCAAAATAAACAAAAAAAAACCAAAAATTAATACCCTCTAAAAGATATTCAAGAATAATTGATTGATTATCTAATCCAAACTTACGCGGTCCAGAAAATTTTGTTTTTGTTGAAAAGATTTGTTGGTACAAGTTTGTTAATGCAGCACTTGTTGTTTCTTCAATATCACTTGATTTGCCATTTGCTTGACAAAGATATCCAGGTAAACAAGTATTATTTTTGTTACCTTCAATAATTTTCAAGTAAAATTGAATGTTATTTAATTCAATAACAATGCTTAAACCAACACGTATTGGATAAAGTTCATTAATATTATTAGTATTAGTACTAATTAACCACCACTCATAAAAAAATGCATCATAGTGAAGTTGAGATACTATAGATCCAATAGAAATGAGTTTAGGAGAAACTCGTTTATATTTTGTCATAAAGTAATTAGTCAAGCTAATATGAAAAAGAACCAGATTGAGAAAAAAACTTTTATTATTACTCTATAACCTCGCATTTTTATAATTAATATCGATCATCATATGTACTTGTATCACAAATCGTCAATTAAAAATACCAATCTGAAACCAAACTGAACTATAAACTGGTAAAAATCTGAACTGAACTGAAAATTTCAGATTAATCCGAAATTTTAGATCATTTGAAACGATAACTTCAATCGTTCCAAATGAACGATTTTTTATCATTCTTTTGAAATGATAATTTAATTATTCTAATTGAACGATTTTCTTATCATTTGTTTAAAACAATAATTTCATCGTTCCAATTGAACTATTCTATTATCGTTCGTTTGGAATGATATTTTGATCGTTCTAATCAAACAATTTTCTTATTGTTCGTTTGAAACGATAATTTGATCATTCTAATCAAATGATTTTCTTATTGTTTAATTGGAATGATAATTTGATCATTCTAATTGAACGATTTTTTTATTGAATGATTTTATTATCGTTCATTTAAAACAATATTTTGATCATTTCAATCAAACGATTCTTTTATCGTTTATTTGAAATGATAATTTGATTATTCTAATTGAACAATTCTATTATTGTTCATTTAAAATGATAATTTGATCATTCTAATCAACCGATTTTCTTATCGTTCATTTAGAATGATAATTTTATCGTTCTAATCAAACGATTCTTTTATCATTCGTTTAGAACAATAAATTTAATTATTCCAAATAATCTGAAATTTCAGATTAACCCAAAATTTTCAGTTCAGTTCGGATTTTTTTCAGTTTGGATTAGATTTATAATCTGAAAAAAATCTAAATCGAACTGAAAATTTTCAGATTGAATTTTTTGCAATCTGAAACTGAACTGAAGTTGATCTGAACTGAAAATTTTCAGATTAATCTGAACCATTCAGAGCTTTAATTACTCACTACTTAAGATTTCTGCCTCTGCAAAAATATCAAAAGTTTTCAGTACAAGAGCTTGATATTCACTGGACTTTAATCGTCAAATTATGATCAAGATCAGACATCAAGTATCAAAGATTTATTAAACTCCTATGTTTTTAAAGAGATAATAAACTCAAATAGCAGTTCAGTAATAATATTTAGTTATCGTTACCATTTGTACCATTCGTTGAGCTAATGAATAGTCACATTGTCAATAAGTTGACCTAAATAAAATGCATTAATAAGAAATAAAATATGGTTCTTCATATAAGTAGAACAAAGTAGAGTTTGATAAGTGGATTGCACTTTTTGAGCTAAGAATACGTCAGTTTAATATGGAAACTCTATTGATCAGATTTCTTCTTCAAGAACAGTGATAGAGATTTGAAGTTCTTTTAAAACTACTTCAAAATTTATAAGTTTATTATAATTTTATTAATTTGAATAATAACGATATAGGTCTTTTTTATAATATCTTAATGCTGATCATTATTCAATGATAATCTGAGGTTCCCATTTGATTTATTTCAAATATGACTTTAAAAGATCTACATATATGGGGTTTTTTCTAACTCGTCTATCTATAGTACAAAGTTTATAAATTTCAGGTCTCACAATGTTGTAAATATAGAAAGATTCATTGAATTTGTCCTTAAATTTGTCTTCATGAATGTGTAACTGTGTGACATTAAATAATAAAATTTTATCTTCAATTTGATAAGAAATTCCAGATCGATTCTTGTTGTAACATTCCTGTTGCTTTTGTTATTATTATATAATATTTTATTATGCATCTAATTTTCATTGTTGCAATTGTGATGAGATTATCTGCTAATGTTTTTTCATAGCATTCAATAAGTTCGTGATAGGTGAAGGTCACTATAGTTGTAAATCTATAGGTAGAATTGCTTTTTATCAATATAACAACTCAAATGACTCAAATTTAGTTGTCTCTTGTTGAACAGTACGGTATGCGAATAATGCTGATACCAAATAAGTATCTCATTCTTCATAATGTTGCTCAGCGCAGTGTTGGCAAATAACCTTAAAGTGACCTTAAAATGACCTAATCATGTGATGATTTTACTATAAAATCTATCACGTGATCATATACAAAGTGACCTAGGTCACTTCAAAAAAAGAGAAATGACCTTGAAATTTGTCAACACTGGCTCAGCGTACTTGGTTAAGATTGTATATAGAGTTCTATAAAGCGTTCAATAAGGCTATTGGTCTAAGGGTGATACAGTGAAGATAATCTATATTTAGTTTCTAATACATGTAACAAAGTAGTGACCAATTTATTTTAAAATAACGTAGCTCAGTAGGTTAATATTTCTTTTGGCATTCTGTGTTAACATATGATTTCATTGTAACTGTGTAGTAGTCTGAGTGATATAATCTGATATGACACTAGCTTCAACCTATTTTATCAAATATTCAGTTGCTATAATAATATATCTATTTCCTTTTATCGTACGTGAAAGTAGTCTTATGTAGTCTATTCCAATATTATCGAATAGTTGTCTAATAGGTATAGAATGCAATGATTCTTTGGGTTTTGGCCTTCTTTGTCATTAGCATACATCACATGTTCGTATCTAATTATCAATCATTTTATACATATTAGGCCAGTAAGATCAAGAGGTGATTTTGTTGTAAGTAATATCATGTGCTAAATGTTCTCCTAAAGGTTCATTATGAATATTATATAGAATACTTTTAACTTTGTTAGTTTTGATTACAAGTAATAGTTGAATTGAATGTTTATGATTACGTCTGTAAAGTTATTAGTTTTGTACGAAATAATGTTGAGCTTATTTTTGAATGGCGTGTCATTATGAAGAGGTCAGGTTTGGAGGATATATAAGTTGAGTAAGATATTGGTATAATTGGTGGTAGGTTTCAGATTCCATATTGTAGAGCTATTAGTCATAATGCTAATACTTACGCTTTCACTTTCAAATTTTTGTTATAATTGTTATAGATTATTGTGGGAGAAGTCAGGACAATGCGTCAGCATTCAAATGTAATTTTCCTTTTTTATATCAAATTTGATATGAGAATTTTATAATATGAATAATCTATCTCATAACTTATGAGGAGGGTCAGGTTTATTAAAAAGTTATTGTAGGGTTATATGATCAGTAATTAGTTCAAATAGTTAATGTAACAAATAAGGTCAAAAGTGTTCTATTCTCCATACAACGGCAAGACATTCCAATTCAATTGGAGCCTAATTTCACTCAGCATGACTTATACTTCAACTAGCATAAGCTATAACATATTCCTTATTATTATCATCTTATTGTACTAATATTACGCTAAAGCCTATGTATGAACTATTAGTAAAGAGTAAAAACTTGTGTTTGAAATCAGAATAAATTAAGACTGATGCAGTTATTAAGCATATTTTTAAATGTTCAAAAGCCTTTTGTTGTAGTTCTGTCTAAATATAAAGTATATCTTTTTGTAATAATAAATGCAATAGTACAGCTGATTTTGAGAAATTCTGAATAAATCTTCTATAATATGATGCTAGTCCTAGAAATCCTCACAACTCAGTAATATTCTTTGGGATTGGAAAATTCTTGATTTTATTTATTTTAGAGGGATTTGGTGAGATTCTTTGTCCACTCACGATGTGTCCTAGAAATGCTAATTCTAATTTAGTAAACTCACATTTATCTTGTTTGAGTTTTAATTAAGTGTTTTTATTTGTTTAATGATGAGTTATAAATGTCGCAAATGTGTATTAAAGGTATCTGAAAAGATAATAATATCGTCAAAATATACAGCTATGAACTGTCCAATTTCTTCTCTAAAAATCTTATTCATTAAATATTAAAAAATTATAGATGCATTTGTTAATCCAAATGACATTACTTTAAATTTATAAAATCTTTGACTAGTTATAAAAGCTATTTTGTTTGGTCATTTGGGTCCATAGCAACTTGCCAATATTCGCTGGCTAAATCTAATGTTGAAAAATACTTAGCCTTTTCAAACATATCTAGCAATTCATCAATTCATAGTAAAGGATATCCATCTCGTTAAATAACACTATTAAGTTTCCTGTAATCAACATAAAACTGAAGTTTTTCATTCTTTTTTTTAGATGAAAACAACTAGTGAAGCCCAAGGACTTTCAGAGGGCTGTATTAAGTTATATTTCAACATTTTACTAACTTAATCTTTGATAAATTCTTGCTTTAAGAAAGCTACCCTATATGCATGTTATTATATAAACATCAGATTTTCTACAGGTATGTGATATATTTCAATCATTGTATGTCTTAATTGTGATAAATCATCAGTGAACACATCACTATTTTTATGTAGAAATTGAGTAATTTGTTGCTGTTGGGATCTATTAAGATGTTTATAGGTTATTTTACAGGATAGTAACTCATAAGGAATATTTTGTAGTAGTTGTCAGTGATCCTATTCCTTCTTACATAGTTGGCAATTATCATCAATTTTATCTAATTTATTATGATACCAACATCGACTTTTTGATTCTTGCTAATGATATTTCCATTTAGCATCTTTGGGTGGTTGAATATTAAATTTTTGGTTTAAATTGTCAAAATATTAGGAGGAATATTTTTGTTCACCTACCAAAGTTTGTTTTGAGTTACTTTCAACTAAAGAAATAGAATTGTTATGATCTTCTAATATCATATAGTGTCATTAAGCTACTAATTCTTCATTTTCATATTCTTTATCAAAAAAATTTTTGATAATGTCGACAGGTTGCTAAAAATGATTGAACTGTGATTTTTTCCAACAGGTCATAGGTATCTGATATTCTTTATTATTTTAGCTGAATGTAAATTTTTGACAGTTCCAATAAAATCATCCTCAACATTTGGTAAGCCAATCATTTTCTACTACTATATAATAATTAGTTGATTCTGTGATATCGACGTTAATAGGGATTTCTACACTATTTATTTGTAAAGAAATATTAGTGACTCATCTTAAAAGTTATAATCATTCTCTTTGTATGTT